CTGTCTTCGAACCATTGTTCATGTATTTCGCAGCCACCAGCTTAACAGTTCTGAGGTCAGACACAAAGCATTAAGTAATTATAAAAAATCGATTGACGAGCTAGTAAATCTTTATCAGCTGCGATGGTTAGCTCATGTATTACATATGCTCATCTACCGAATACATTGACGCGAGATGATGACGCGTGTAGTAGTGGGTTGGAAGATAGCTTGAAGTGGCCAGACCAATACATGATATCAGTCCATGAAAGACACGAACTGTTAAACTGAGCCGTGTACGTAGTTGCAGACCATCTAGTTGTGGTGGTCTACATTGCATTTAACTGACTGGGATGTACTTGGTTCTTTTTTTAATCAAATATAGTTATTCTTCTCTTTTTTGGTTGATTAGATATCGGTGAAATATTTTCATTTTTACAAATTTTCCAGATCCTAATCCACCGGCAACGGCAGAAATTGTTGAAGCATATAATGGTTTACGTTCAAAAATTCTACTTTTATTCGATTTACGTCTAGCTCTATTAAATTGTGACTTGGAACTACACTCAGCTCGGCTACGACTAGAAACATTTGCTCCTAATAAAGTAATTCTTGCCACCTTTTTTTCTGTTAGTCATAACGAGAGTGATTTCAAGTGTTGTTAGAGGTTTTATTTTATTTTATTTGGATACATAAATATTCATACTAGAGGGCACCAAATATATATGCGCCACACAAAACAATGAGGATTCGAAAAGAAAAAAAGGAACAATAACGAGCAGATTAGTGTAAAGTCGTGTAATAATAATAATAGTAATAATGGGGGAAACGGAAAGGTACAATGAGGAGAAATATTTCAGTTAGGGAAGAAACAACCATTTTTTATGAAGAAAGTGAAAGAAGGTTACAGCAGGATCGCCATTGGCTTCTATTCTGAGCCATATCTGATAACGTCTCTAGCCACTGTGTTGCACCATCTCTCGGACCCCAACCAGGGAGTCGTGAAGGACCAACACAGGCCAGCCCTTTTCAGCTTTCTTTTATACCACGACACCATGTCATGCACTGACCACCTCTGCTTTTTCCAAACAGTCCCAGAGTCGGCAAATAATGCACGACGTGGAATTCTCTGGGACGACATTCGTAGAACATGTCCAAGCCACCGAAGTTGGTGTTTCAAGATGGTGACACTGATTGCATTATCATCTCTGTGCCCGAACACACGATACCGAACCTCTGCATTACTGACGTGGTGTTGCCACTGGATGTCAGCAATCCTTCGGAGACAGCGATGATCGAACACAGAGAGTCGGTTAACGTCCTCAACTCGGAGAGACCAGGTTTCACAAGCATAGAGCAAAACTGCTCTCACCGACGCGTTGTAGATCCGACCTTTTACAGCCAGACTAACATCACGAAGGCGCCAAAGGTGGTCCAGATTGGCATGAGCCGCTCTGGCTTTCACTATACGTGCATTGATCTCATCGCTCACGCCCCCACCAGCACTTATGCAGCTACTTAGATACACGAACTTCTCGACTACTTCTATCTGCTCACCATCCAGAGTGAGTACAGGATTAGAATCCTTCCAGTCTTGTAAAAGTACTTTGTACTTCGAAGGTGCAAAGCACATACCATATAATGAAAATATAATGAAAAATGTTGTTAGAGGTTGGTGGACAGTTGTCACTTTTCAGTTGATCATATTGTGATGGTTACTTCTGATTGAAGAACTTGAAAAGGTTACTGCATTAGTACTGATCTAGTCAATCTGGATGTATGCATTTTCTAGGTCTAACCCACAGGAAACAGATATCCATGTGACATTTTGAAGTGTGACTTTCAACTAAACAGACTATATCGAGGTAATTTGTTCATGATGCATATACGACAACAGGAATTCATCACTTACAGTCTTTTGTATCAACAACATGTGCTTAGATTAGATTGTTTCAACATATCACGAACTAAATACTTTCACACAATCAATTAGCTTCATTGAGCCTGATTACTGTAAATAAATAGATGTTGTTTAACAATTCAGTCAATCAGTCAGTAAAAACGTAGAACTTCGTACGTACGTACATCAGTTCGAGTTGTCACACCACATTAACACAGAGATGCAGTTGTCGATTCAAATCCCGTAGTTGTAGAGGCGGTAAGAGTATAAGCAGTAATCGGAAAGATTAGGGTTTTTTAACAAAGATAATCACTGAGTTCTATAACCTCTAGAACTTCAACTAGCAAGTTGGGATGAACTAGTGAATGTCATTCGTATACAGAACTATCTTTCATACTACGACTCCATATCATAAACTAATAATGTCAGTTTTCTCCATCCAGTTTCGGTATTGACATTTTTATGTGAAAGGTACTGAAACGATATACGTAAAGCATGTGCAGTCCATCAACATTGATGTTTCAGGATAGTTACATCAGGTTGGTGCAGGTTGATTTCACAAAAAATGATGGCGAGTAACTCTTACTAACTCATTGTATTCCTTAACGTACTAGCATAGAGTAATAACTTTTATCTTTGTAGACATACTTCCTGAAAAATATGTCTTTGTAGAATGTGATCAAGTTTTCAGTTACATGCAATCGTTAATCTTTAATCTCCTGGTTCATAATTGTGTGTTTTAAGTTTTTCTAGATTTTTTTTGTGTATAGTTGAACGAAACGTTTCTCTTTTTTTTAATGTCTAATTTCCTCTTTTAGCCATTACCTTGTGGACTTGCTAGTCTTCCAAATCCTAGTATATCCGAATCACCTGAAGATTCTTATTATAATTTGATAGATCCATTGATTTTATCAGCACTTCGTGTAGCCGACTCAAAACGTCCAATTCTACCGCGTCATTCACTTGGAGTTGCTGGTACATTGGCTGCGGCTGCTGGAAGTTTAGGTATGCATAATATGACTAGCGGAAGTAGTGGTATTCCACCTATGAATACAACAATGGAGAAATCAGATACAAAACAATGTCGATTAAACTCATCGTCTATCGTGAATTCTTCAGATAATGGACAGTATAATTCTAGTGGATTAACAACTACTCGATCATCTCCAGCATTGTCAGGAGGTGGTGGAGGCACTGGAAATCTAGACTCGGATAATTCATCATCAGCCGGAGATGGTATCGGTAGTTCACAACGTCGTAGAAGAGCAGCAGCTTTAGAACAAGGACGTGTTTTAAAGAAACTTAAAATTAAAGGACAACTTGTTGATTGAAACTGTTGTTTATGGAGAAACAAACAAAAATTCTTTATTGTGTATGTGTACATAAAATTATTTGTTCGATTGATCTCATTTGTCCTATCGTTTCAAAATGAAACAATTTCATAATAAATATTTTTTCTTTTACCATGTTCTTTGCTTTAAAAGTAATTCTCACTACCTAATTGATGTCAGTTAGAAAGAATGGTTACCAATTAGGAATCATTTAAAAACTGTTTTCCATACTAAATTGAACTCTGAACTTTCAGATTTGCTAGAAACACCTCAAAAGATCTTTTTATTCTTTGTTTAGGAAGTCAAGATTGTTATTTTAGACAAAGTTTATGATAAACTGAATCCATGTATTCCTCATACTACTACTTCTACTACTACTCCTACTACTATTGCCCCCAAATGCCCTGGTACGGCTGAGAGTGGGGAGAGTCCGCTCTCCCTCTCGAAATGTTCTCACATGGCCACGCGTATATAGCTTCTGCCAGGCAATTCCTACTCACTGCCTTCTAGTGGCGGGGGTGTTGTTTACGAAATTGAGAGGACGAAATGCAAATGTCCGGGGATTTATCTGGGTTGGTCAATATGTTGAGTCCACCTAGGGGAATTGGAAAACCCTGATTCCAAACCAATGGTGCACATCGGCTCCAGGATCCTAAAGGAACAAATGGCGTATGAACTGATCGTTGGTCACCAGCTACCATGGGAATGCATCTCCTTACGATGCTCCACTGCCTTGTGGATGAAACCTCCAGGTCGAAGGCTCCGGGTGTGGCTCCCTAGGAAAACCAACTGCTATGGTTTGGGCACCCGGATAGTATTTGAAGTATTTGAAGTTTCATATCACGAACCAGCCTTCATTAGACCACAAATAAAAAGCAGGAAGTATTAGATACCTGGTACATGCTAGTACGGGACTAATCAGTAATGTGTATCCACAATCTCCCAAGGATTCAAATGATAGTCACGTAATATCATTAATATACTTAAGTTAAAAATGTCAACCAATAAATGAAGACTAAGTGATCTGGAGGTTAAGCGACTCCACTAGTCTTGAAGATCCTAGGTCCGACCCCTGGTGAGATCAAAGAGTCAGTCCCGTACTAAGAAGAAACAGGTATCCATTGCACTCAGGTTTTCAGTTGATTGTTTTAATCTCAGCATCATAAATCCATGTGGTATATCTTAGTTGTTTCATCCTCAGTGGTGGTCACCAAAGACTCCCAAAACGAACAAACCTACAATATTCATGTCTCATGGTTAGAACATTAGGTCATAAAGATGCATTAGTCATATGTGCTGTAGAACCTAGAACATCGCGTCAAAGATTCAATGGTAGAATGCCCACCTACCACACGGGCGCTCCAGGTATTCCGCCACTACCAGGTAAGTCCTACTCACTGCCTTCTCACACCACGGGTGTCGTTTAAGAAATTGAGAAGACGAAAAGCGAATATCCGGCGCTTTAACCAGGTTGGAGGACACAGAGAGTCCACCTAGAAAAGTTTTAAAACTGATTTCAAACCAATGATGCACATGGTTTCCAGTATCCTGAGGGAACAAATAGTGTATGAACTAATCGTTGGTCACCGGCTACTATGGTACTGCATCTCCTGACGTTACTCCACTGCCTTGTGGACTAGACCTTTAAGTCAGTGTCTCGAGTTGTGGCTCCCTAAGAAGGTCACTTGCTTCGGTTTGGTGAGCACCCGGGTAGTATCCCACCCCTTACATAAATCTATGTCATGACTCTTTATACCAATGTTTATATGTTTAAATAAACAAAACAAAATGGGGGGTATATTTTAATTACTAATTTATCTAATAAATTTACATAATTAATAAAATCAATAAAAAATATATTCAATATTCAATTGATCATATTCATATCGATTTTTCGTTAGAAGAAATCTTAATAAAGTAACTGATAGAGATTATCATTATTATTATTATTGTCAATAGTATGTTTTTTTTCTTATTGATTTTTTTCTTTTTTCTCCTCTTTTTTTCTTTCTTTTTTTTTGATTTTATTTAAAATATCTTTGTTGCTAATTGTTTTGATAACCAATCCATATGTGATGTTGTTGATGTATAAACACCAGGATTTAAACCACAACCACGTGCTAAACCAAAACTTGTTACACCAACAACATGCCAACGATTAGTCTCTTCTAAATAACAATAAAGACCACCACCACTATCACCTGCACATGTATCCTAAGGATTCGAATTATAAAAAAAAAACGAAAAGAAAAACAGTTGCTAATTGAATAGAAAATCAGTAGATATTCAAGAAGGAATAAGTATATGACGAAGAGTATGAAGAAATGTCAACAAGTTAATCATCATGTTCAGGGATTTAGAGATTGATCGTTTGCATATAAAACCGAAGATCATGGGTTCGAGTCCCGTGTGCCGAATCATGGATGCGTACTGCTAAAGAGTTCGGTCCAAGTACGCGGACAGTATCACAACCCACATACAAATCAAGAGGCTTATTTGTGTGGCGCCTATGTATTCTATGCCTCTTTGTAACAATATTTATGTGTTCAAATAAAATAAAATAAATAGTTAAAACATTGAACCTATTCAAATATACTAATCATAGTTTATCTCAATTTACTTTTTATCATATGACATGATAAAATATAATAAAATAATATAGTATCATTTATGCAAAATGTTGCTTCAGGATTGGACTGCATCGGCACCTGAACTAATGATAGGGAGTGAAGTAGTTGAGAGTGTCGTCCATTTCACTTATCTTGGGAGTCTCGTCAGCCTTTGTGGTCTGATGTGTAACGAAATTTCAGCACGGATACAGAAGACTCGACTAGATTTTGCCAACTTGCGTCATTTATGGCGTAGGTGAGATATCCGTCTATCAACCAAAGGACGTGTTTACTGCACAGCAGTTCGTTCCGTCTTACTTTATGGCAGTGAACATGGTCGGTAAGAGTAGTTGATATTCGTAGGTTACTAGTGTTCAATCATAGATGTCTTCGGAACATTGCTCGTATATCCTGAGACTACTGAGTAAGTAATGCAGTTGTTAGGAAACAGGTACTACATAAGGATGGTAAATCAAATGATGAAGTAATGGAACTTCATCAGTTGAGATGGTTACTACACGTGTTACATATGTCCAACAACCGACTGCCCCGACGTGCGATGTTTTATGGTGTAGGAGTAGGTTGGAAGAAAGCTAGGGGCGGTCAGACCAAAACATGACACAAATCCATGAAGTCACTGATAAATGGACTGAGCCGTGTTGTTAGGTGTAGACTATCTGTTTGGAATCCGCGAGGTGATAGCAACCGATGGTTAGAGACCCTGAATGACATGGCTCAAAATCGTTGTCAATGGTGCAGGTGGATACACTCTTTGTGTTCTCCCAAATTCTAAGTTTCTGAATTTTTCTTTCCAAATTTATTTCACTGGATTGTACTTCTTGAATAACATCTTCAAACCGTAATCTTTTCGATTATTGCCCATACTTTTACTACCTCTACCACTTTTGGATTTGAATCGAAAATTGTATCTGTGTGTTAATGTGGTATTGCAACTTGAACTGATGTACGTACGTACGAAGTTCTACGTTGTTGACTGACTGACCGATATCCGTTTCCATCGTTGAAAATTTCTTTGTAAGTCAACAGTAATCATGCTCATTAATTAACTTGTCATTTTTCCTTTTTTTTACTGGAACTATATTCATTAATGATTTTCATAAACTTAGCTCATCATCGATTTACCCTACGAAGAATGGGAAACCCCAATAAATTGCAAACTTTTGATGTTTTCTTTAATCCAGGATGTCATCGGTCTTATGAACAGTTGATGATCGATTGATGATTAAATATAAATGATGAGCGAATTCATACAATCATTCTTACTATTGAGTACAAACAGTGAGACTATAATTTATGAACAACCTTTGAGTGACGCTAGACTGACCTTGAGAGTGTTCACTTAATAACCATGACCAAATGAGGATTATAAACCAGTATAAGAAATTACAACTATGATTTACAGTTGATGATTAAGGTTAGGAATTATATTTCGGGTTTTCATTATGAATTGATATCACCTAAAATACCAAAACTTTATTTAATCAAATGGATGAGTGATTTTCGTGCCAAAATCCGAGACCTACAATCTTATACGTGATTGATTCACCCATAAATTACAGTCTCACCGTATAAACATTAGAAAAATTGTCATCTGAAGACTGATGAATCAAAGTGTTTTAACTAATTTGATAATTAACTATTCTTTAGAGTTAATCAACTCCTATCAAACGATAAACAATGTTACTAATGGTATAATCGACTTGAATAATAAGCGTACTACATTTGGATGTTACATCAGTATTAAAAAGAAGAAGAAACTACCTGTCAGTTATTACACAATAATTGATTATTTGAAATATCTAACTTCTACATTAAATCAGTTGCAGCTCAAATAGCTTAGTGATACCACTTCTAATGTTGATCTTAAATGAAGGGAGTTAGTATTTCACTTAAAATATCAACTTCTTCAACAACAAAAACATAGATGAAATACCTTGTCAGTTAAGTATAATCTAGAACCATATGTGATCTTGTAGCTTCTTTCTTAAACTATCCTTAAACGATCAATTTCAGTTCTTTTACTGACAGATTCACTATATTCAAAGCATCAGTCATCATTAGTTCATCAGCCTATTGTTATATGTTGTAATTGTATATGCAATTAATCAGATAATTTCTTAATTAGAAGGTATATTAGGATAAATACTTAGTTCATGTATTTATACTTTGAATATATATCCTCTCACTATTGTAAAAGAAGAATTAATAAACATGAATAGCAACTGAAAAGAAATGGAAAAGATTGTCCAAGACAGAGTTGGATGGAGGATGACTGGTGATCGGCCTATGCTCCTTTGTGAGAGATAACAGGCATAAGTAAGTAAGTATGTAAGTACTCTCAGTTGTTCATTTATTTATATCAACGAAAGTGTATTTTACTCATAGGTTCTTTTTTAATACTAGAGATTAACACTTTAATGATCAAATCTCAATATGTACATGAACGTTGAACTGCAAGTACATCTAACTGATGAGTTTCAAACAGAATGAATCAGTAGATGGATTCTACTATTAGTGATTAACAGTATGGGGTTGTGGAGATTATTAACTTTTTGATTGAGATCATGGACTGATTAATGTTAAATCATCATTGAAAACCTTGAAGTACTGGATCTCCGTTTAGCCTTATTATATGACTTCTCAGCAGTGCACATCTACGATCCCCGCAAGCAGGATTCAAACCCAGGGACTTCAGTCTTGCTCACGAACGCTTAACTTCTAGACCAATGAGTCGGCTGACATCCAATGATGTAAATGTCTTATCTCAACCAATCCACAAAATCGCGTGACTATCTTCCATTGTACTAAGGTAGAAATCTCTCACTACCTGACAGAGAATAACTCTACTGGTCATTGTTTCTCACTAGAACTCTGAGAATTCCTTCATGAAACTAGTCACTAATAAGTACATGGTTGTAAAGATTATTAAGCTCTTGATTGAGATTTTCATAAATTTTCTTCATTTTTAATGTATATACCAAAAGAATAAAACAAAATCATTACTTACTTTATTTCTAGCACCAGCACATACATGAACTTTAGAACTAATATCAGCATAATGTTTACGACAATCTTCTATAGAAACAATTGGTAATTCAACTTCATGTAATTCTCTTGATGATTCTTCTTCTTCTAATTTTTTAATATTCCATATTGTTGATTCACTTCTACCAAATCTAAATGGTGTTGTAAATAATGATGGAAATGGTAAAAATAATGATTCTAATATACTATGTATATTATCAAATGTTGGTATTTTTGCACCTTTATTACTACCCCAACCAACAGCATAACATTTGGAATTTGGTGTTAATTTTAAATCTTTTGTTGGTAAACATGCAAAATCAATTTCTGGTGCTAAAAAAAAGAAAAAAAAAGAAGTTAAAATGAATAATTTGAAACTGAAGGTCATGAGTTCGAACCCAGCGAGCGTGGATCGAAGATGTGCATTATTGAGGAGTCATACAATAGAATGGAAAACGGAGGTCCGGTGCTTTCAGGTTTTCAATGGTGGTCTAACATCAATCGGTTCATGATCTCAATCAAAAACTTAGTAATCTTCACAACCATATACTGATAAATACCATGTGCTTACTAGTGACTAGATTCGTGAGAGAGTTCTCAGAGTTCTAGTGAGAAGCAGTGATCAGTGGAGTTAATCCGTGTTGGATAATACAGGTATTTACCTCATTACAATGGAAGATGGTCACGCAATTTTGTGGGTTGGCTGAAGTTATACATTAACATCATTGAATGCCAGACGGCTCAGTGGTCTAGAAGTTAAGCGTTCGATTGCGAGACTGAAGACCCTGGGTTTGAATCCGGGAGCTGCATCATGGATGCGCACTACTGAGGAGTCCCATACTAGGACGGAACGGCCGTTCAATGCTTCCAGATTTTCAATGATGGTCTAACATAAATCAATTCATGATCTCAATAAAAAAATGTCAAGAATTTGGATAATATATCTAGTAAAAAACCCAAAATGAGCCTCTACTACTCTCAATTGTGATTACTAAACAAAAGAGTTGTCAATATCAATGTTTGGAGACTGTCTGTGACACGGGTCAGACTCGATCACAATGGCGTAGGTGTATACAATCTCTGTCTTCCCTTAAACTATGAGATCAGAATTACTTTCTACCTCTCTATCAACTAATTCTCTCTTCCTGTACTAGATCCTTATATGCAATCTTTCTTTTTTATATTACTACCATTGAATTGACTACTTCTATGAATTCAGTGTTCATCTTATTGTGCTAATGATGTACGGCATCTTAGACCAATGCATATATGTGCCTTGTCCTACGTTTTTAGCTGACTAACCGACTGACAATATCAGTGTTCTACAACCCCTAGTACTCTCAATCAGTTTGATCTTGATGGTCTATATTTGTCTAACTACCGATGAATAAATGATGTGATTTCTATGTTAGTATAACTGTAAATCACTCGTTGTACCTGTTCAATGTGTAGATTCTTCCCTTTTTTGTGATTGATTATTATTCATTTTCTGTTCTTGTACCAGTTATCATTATTATATGTTGTAGAAATATACAAAACCCTAAAGGTACTCAATAATCTTGGGACAATGCGTAAACTTTATAATATCAGACGAGTAGGAAGTTGAAAATTCTGATTTTCTGGAACTTCTAGAGATGCAGTTGAATGATGGAAACAGAGATTTGACAAATGCATCATCATAAGGACTAAGTATTTTGGCGTCAGTAATACTAATGTGAAACTCCACCAGTAGCTTTTCCGAACTTACTGCCGGTCCCAAGCCCGGGTAAAGGAGGAGGGTTGGGTATGGGGTTAGCGACCCCATCCCGTAGAAAACTAACTCGCTAAAAAAACGCTAACCAGCAAAAATAATTCAAACCATTTCAGTAAGTAAGTAAGTCATAATAATGTGACCTGGAATCTCCTTTCGAATACTTATTGGATAGACTAGATGCTTCGAAAGCCTTTTGTATGAAAGTTTTTAAAATTGTGTACCAATTTTATTGAACACTTTAACAAATAAAACATATTCTTGACTTTTAATGGTTTTCTAGGAGTAGTTTGTAACATAGAGAAAGGAAATTTAATAATCTCCACAAACGTTCCTACCACTAACAGTAACCATGTTCCCAATGGTGATTAGTTTCAAGATGGAATTCTTGGAGTTTTAGTTAGAAGTCGTGACCAATGGAGTTCAACCATCTCGAGTTTGAAACTGTTAGCAGTCAGTCATCAAATATCGTGAGTTGATTGAAGTTAAGCATATGCACTATTTGATTCCAGTCCAATGGTCTAGAGGTTAGACCTTCAAGTGCGAGAGTGAAAGCCATGAGTTCGGTTCCCAGTGATGAATTTATGGATGTGTACTCCTAAGGATTTCCTTACTGGGACTAAACGACTGTTCACGACTTCCAAGTTTTCAAAAGTCATCTAACTAAGATTAATTAATGGTGTAAACTATAAGGTATATATAGCAGATAACGGCAGGAATAGACATACTTGTTTTAACTGGTTCTGAGAGTCGTAACAATGCAATATCATATCCATCAGTTTGTAATTTTCTATGATAATTTGGATGAAGTATAGCAACAGTAACACGATGATCAACTTGTGCAGCTTCTTGTTTATATCGATCATGATCACCTAAATGTGCATAGATTGTACTTTTCATATGATCAGCTAACATAACTGGTTTTCCAACTGGAATATGTTTATTTTCCACTAGAACACAATGAGCTGCAGTTAATATCCATTGTGGTGCAATTAATGTCCCACCACAGAATGTAACTGGTCTTCGATGAGGTAATTTCACAGATAAACGAACCTTTAATATATAAATAAATATGAATTCAATTTGTTAATAGTTGATTAATTTAAGATTGAATATACTTCGACAATATGTACTTTGTTGTCATGGCAACCTAGCTTAAATAAAGGTTACTCGTACTGCTAAAAGAATTGATTTTGTTAGTGTTGTATTCTTTGAACTAGATGAGTTAATTACTGATTTCTTATCACTATTTTGAACAATGTCATCAGACTTTTCCCAACTAAGTATTAAAAAAGACATAGAACATCTAACAGTGTAGGTCTCTATTTGAAATAAACGCTTATAATGCATTCCAGGATCATATAAAAATCATAATTGTATTCAATAACCTTTGTTCGATTACAGTAAATAATTCGAGTCACCTAGACTGGTGGCTACATTGCATCATGCTCAATAACATTCGGTCCGCACTAATAAGGACTTGACACAAATGACATTAGTCACCACCCAATGATCAATCAATTGTGATTACATCTCAGTCCTACAGGAGGTTGGTCGCGGCCCGGATAGCTCAGTGTTAACGTCTCTGACTGTGAAGCTGGATGCCACGGGATCGAGCACCATTTCCCTCAAGATTTTAGGTGCACCTTGCTAATGAGCGCCAAGTAGCACGAAACCCGGATCCAGAGTTTCCTGTCGACAACCACCATCTAGTTCTATGCACCATTTGTCACGTGCTACTGATGTCGACAGATATAAGTAGTATATATGATGAATCAAAATTGAAATGCCTAGCAACAGAAGATTAAGAAAATCGAAGAAAAGAGAACGAGAACAAACAATAATTGATGTGGAATTGCAGGAACAATGAAGTCCAAAAGGATCGACTGATATTTTGCGAATGAAGTATTTACTGTATGGTTCTTAAATTTTACTAAGATGTACTGTAATTTTATGTTCGAATACATTCGATTGTTCCCAATTTTGTTCTCGTCCACTACATTATAACTAGTAACCATTAGAGAGAGTGAACTTTTATCCTGAGAAATTAAGCATTTCTTGCATGATATAAAACCACACTGAAGAGTCGAGATTGATCGTACACATGTTTGTATACAATTGTGGTATGTGCTACTGATTTTGACAGATATAAGTAGTATGTATGATCAACCGAAAGTGAAATGCCTGATACCAGAAGATTAAGAAGATCGAAGGAAAGAGAACGAGAACAGAGAATGATCACTATAAAAACAAAGAAACTATGAAGTCTGAGACGATTGATTGGCATTTTGTAAATGAAGTATTTACTGTATGGTTCTTAGATTTCTATAAGTTTAGCTGTTACAAGTATTCTAGTCATTCATCGTATATAAGGTGTAAGAATTGCAAGATATTCGTTTTTTGTTTGTTGAAACAATAAACTAGAAGTGAAAATATTCCAACAAATGTAGTGCTCAATAGTTGAATTTATGAGTTGATTAAAGCTAGACCACCATGGAAAACCTGGAAGCACTGGACGGCCAATTCGTCCTATTTTGAGACTCCTCAGCGCGCGAAACTGATAGGTCCTAGGTTCGAATCTTGCTAGGCGAGATCGTGGATGCGCACAATTGAGGAGTTTCATACTAGGATGAAATGGCCGTCCAATGCTTTCAGGTTTTCCATGGTAGTTTAGCTTCAATTGACTCATGATCATAACCATTGAATCTAATATCACCAAGACTTGAACTAATCGTCTAGGTAAAGAAGCACAAAAAAAGAACAGTCGAAAGGTTTATAACTTAAACATTCAACTGAATGTACCAACATAAGAAAATATCAAATTAACTATACATATGATAACTTACAGCCCATGGCCATGAATGTGGTTCAGCTGATTTACCGCCAAGAATTTTTTCTATTATTTTATTATCTTGTTTACGTATTCCACATGTATTAGTTAGATTTTTGATAATTTGTTCACCAGCTATGAATAAGTATATATCATAAACATAGATAGAATAAATGTAAAAACAGTTTTGGTAATAGATATGAAATGTATGGAAAGAAAACAACAACTTCGTCTGGAACCTATCTGGGGCGCCCGCCGGTCTAAAGGCTGGATAAAGATGGAGGGTTGGACATAAAGTTAGCGACCCCATCCTGTAAAAAACTAACTTGCTAAAAAAAAATCCGCTAACCAGAAAAAAATAATTTGAACTATCTAAACTCTGCTCTGGGAGTTAGAAGGTCTTCATTTAGAAGAGTTATGATGCTTCAGGGTGGAAGCCGAGTTCTTTCGGAAGTCATGAGGATGATCCCCATTCTAACAACTAGAGTAACCACTAAGTTAGGTACATGAAATGCTCATACAACGTGGGAGACCGGGAAAATCATCCAAATTGCTGAAGAAATAAACAGGTACAACTTGGAGGTGCTTGGAATCGGTGAAACATATTGGACGCAGGTTAGACAACAAGGACTAGCTTCAGGGGAGCTCCTTTTATACTCCGGTCACGAAAAAGAAAAAGAAAACACACTATCCTTTAATTAGTAAACAAGGTCAACGATGAACAAAATCGTTTACAAGTAACGAGTATTTGTAATCTTAAGTTTATGGTTACTGTTTTTCAGATTCTAATTTTCACCATTTTAAGGACAAACATTAATGATGTTATTAAAAGTAGTTGGTTACGAAATTAAGAAGACAAAAAGCGAATGTCCGGTGCTTTAATCTGGTTGGTGGACATGGAGGATATATCTAGAAGAGTTGGAAAACCCTGATTCCAAACCAATGGTGAACATGAGCTCTAGGATCAAGGAGGAAAAAATGGTGTGTGAACCACATATTGGTCAGCGGCTACCATGGGACTGCATCTTCTTACGTTGCTCCACTGTCTTGTGGATTAGACCTTTAGGCTGAAGGCTTTGTGCGTGGCCCCCTTAGAAAACCACCTGACTCGGTTTGGGCAGCCGGACAATATCATAGCCCACGCAAATCAAGTGGCTTACTTGCGTGGCGCATATGTATTCGCCCCCCCTTTGTACTAATTTTTATGTGTCCAAATAAGTAAATAAAGTAGTGTGCATTCATGATCCAGCTCGCGGGGTTCGTACCCAGGACCTTTGGTCTCGCGCGCGAAATCCTAACCTCTATACCATTGAGCCATAATCCAATGTTGTTAATGTGTAACCTCAACCAATCCACGAAATTGCGCCACTGTCTCATAACTGACCCGATTGAACTCCACTGGTCCAGGAAATACCTCCTGAATTCATTCACTAGTGAGCACATGATGATTATTACTACCGAAAAGTGAGTTTTGTGGAGGTTGTAGTAATTTCATAGTTGATTTCATGAGTCGATGGCACAATTTCATGAATTGGTTGAAGTTAAACATTAACACCATTGAATACCGGCTCAGCAGTCAAAGATTAGTAGTTCGTGCGCGAGTTCAAATGTCCTAGATTCTACTTCTTTTTGTATAGTATCATAAATGCCCACTGTTGAGGACTGCTATACTAGGACGAAACAGTCACCCAATGTTCACAGGTTTTCTATGGTAGTTTATCTTTAATCAATTCATGAATTCAACTAGTAAATTAATGATCTGTATTATCATTTAAGATCAGATATGAATTAGATGAACTATGCATACAATCGCATAAATCATACATTTAACTAATCCTTCTTTACTATTCAATTCATATCATCATATATCACCTTACATGTGATTCAAATGATAAGATTATTATTCTATAATAAATAATCAATGGTTATATATCATCAGAAGGGGTTTTGTGGAGATTTTAGTAATTTCAATAGTTGAAATCATGAGTCTATTGAAATTAGACCACCATGGAGTATCTAAAAGTACTAGACTGCCTTTTTAGTCCCAGTCTGAGACTCCTTAGCAATGCGCATCCACAATCCTGCCCCCGCGAGATTCGAACCCAGGATCTAACTTATTCATCAGTAATATCATTCAAGATCAGATATGAATAAAATACAGTATTGCATTATATTATTGTATCATTCAATTACATATATGATACATTTAACTAATCCTTCTTTACTATTCAATTCATATATCATCTTACATGTGATTCAAATGATAAGATTATTATTCTATAACAAATGATCAATGGATATACATATCAACTTCAATAAGATAATCTTTACTATTTAAATGGTATACGTTACATTGTCATATCTGTAATGTATACAAACTTATACACTACATAGTATAAAAACAACACCAAAAAAATTCACCTAAAATTAAGAATTATCTACCAAGATACATTTCAAACTTATAAAGAGAATTTGATATCAATAGTCAGAAATAAGTTTAGTTTCAATAGTTGAAATCATGAGTTAATTGAAGCTAGACCATCATTGAAAACATGAAAGTACTGGACTGCCGTTTCGTCCTAGTATGGGACTCTTCAGCAATGCGCAACCATGATCCCGCATCACCACCCCCGGAGAGATTCGAACCCAGGTCCTATCAGTTTCGCAAGCGAGCTCTTAATCATTAGACCATTGAGCCGTCGTCTAACGGAGTTAATGTCTAACTTCAACCAATCCAGTTTAATTTTATAGGATGTTATTGATAGACAATATGTATGAATGGGTATATTTTTTAAATTGTGATATAGATTCATATCTAGCTAGGGGTTGGGGGTTGGAGTGAGGAATGAACGAGTTTCTTTAGTATAACTAAATCTATTTCATTCATGAATGTCTATTTCTACGTAACCTAGGTGAAGAAGGATTGTTTGTTGATTGAACTTAATTATTTAACATCGAAATACAATGTACATTGTTATATCCCTACGGAAATAATAAATAGTATCTGTTGGGATCCACTTATGGATTAATACTAAACATACATTTCTATTGTATAACTGTTCAGCAAGTAAATTATGTTTATTTATATTCCTCTTATTATAAGCTTCATTTTGACCTATAGATTATTATTATACGATTTGCCGTTCTTGAGTTATACCCAGTCTATTAACTACAGTCTCCCACATTTACAGCCACATTTGGCTAAATCTTGTACAAATGTTATTCTGTATTTTATAGTGTGATGTAGTCAGTTTGGCTTGTATATAAACCCAGTATGCTTGAAATATACGATTCGTATCGCAGAGGCTGAGACTGATGTTATGGATTCAACAAACAGGCACTGACGATTTGGAAGGAAGAAGAACTCGTAAGGATTTTAGACTGCTCTCACGGGTTCTACGATATCATTGGTCCGGTCGATAAATCACTGTATTTTAATTGACGGTATCATTGCGTAATAAATATTGATAGGGATACAATACCACAAGTTATAATATACATTATGTCAATTAACTTAGAATAGTAGCTACATTAAAAATTAATCACTAAAAGGATTAGACAATCATGTCAGTGGAATCCAAGATGTGAGTTTCATTCTGTTTGAAATTCGTCATTTGAACGTAGCTGGATCTGAGAGTTGATATTCATTTCAGGTCTCGAATTCAGTACCTTCCATTTTAACCGTCTAATTAGTCTTAAAGTGAATAGACAATGTAATTTATTTTAAAGTTATAAATTCTGGTTATTGTTGTGAATTGCTACTAATTCCTATGTTTAATTAATTAGTTCATGATTATTGTAACAGTTTATCCTTTCGTATTATCAATTATTCAGTTTTATATTTTATTAGTTGCTATGGTTACACGGACCCTATGAATGGAGACTTCATTATTAGCCATAGTTACAATCTGGTTGTTTTATTTGAAAATTGATAGTAGTGGAATCATAGATGTCGATTTTGCTCTCTTTAGGACCCAACAGATAGACGTATTAATGTTGGTATTCATACAGAGACTCAAACTTAGTACATATAACTTCGAACACTAGCGTTGATCACTAGACTATTTATTCAACAGTTATATTCAATACAATTTGTGAACATCAAAAGTGAGATGAAATCATATATCTCAAGTTGATATTCAAAATTGAATTTCAATCATTCTTTAGTTGAAATAAGTTCTTCAATAGAGTAATTTATCACAAGTCTTTAATGTTAATATGAATACTAGAATGTAGACAAGCCTAGTTGACAAGTCTCAAATAGGATGTAACACACATGCTGAATTCCACTGACACCTATAATCTCTATGTTCTAAACCATGTATTCAATTCGTATATCGGTGAAACTATAACTTCTGGACAACCTTTGAATGACTCGAAAGTGACCTTGTGAGTGTCCACTTAATAACTAGGACTAAATGAACATTATAAACCAATGTAAGGAATTCGAATTATGATTAACAGTTGATGATTAGAAGTTAGGAATTACATTTCAAGTTTTCATCACCAACTGACATCAACTATAATTGCCAAAACTCTATTTAACCAAATGGATGAGTGAATTTCGCGCCAAAATTCGAGACCGGTTATCTTAAATCTGATTGGTTCGTCCATATATTATAGTCTTACCCATATATTATCAGATGGGGTTTGTGGAGATTTAAGGAATTTTCACAGATTGAAATCATGAGTCCCACACTAGGACAAAACGGCCAGCATGTGCTTTCAGGTTTTCCATGGTGGTCTAGCTTCAACTGACTCATGATTTCAATCTGTGAAAATTACCCATATATCTCAGATAGAAATTTATGAAAGATTCAATAATCATTTGACTTACTATGTTCATTACATTGAGTCTTATTTAAACATGTACGTTTCTCTGTATAATATTTTGATATACATCTAGTTGTATGAATAAGATTTGGTGATATTGTTTTCCATGAATTATCTAAACATTTACGATAACGTATTTCAATACATTCCATTGGTAAACATTCTTTCCAATCTGACCAATTACTATAACGGTCTGTATTGAATACATACATTTCTTGAGTATTTGGTCGATTAAAATGTATACGCCATGGAAACAATTTCAATTGAGTTTTTCGTCCGACATTCTATTAAAATTTTAAAAAAAATATTATATTGGTAATAAGCTATTGAATACTCCGCTTGGAGACTATGCTCCATCGGGAGTAACAGGCGTAAGTAAGTAAAGTAAGTAAGTAAAGTAAGTAAGTAAGTAAGTAAGTAAGTAAGTAAGTAAGTAAGTAAGTGAGTAAGTAAGTAAGTAAGTAAGTAAGTAAGTAAGTAAGTAAGTAAGTAAGTAAGTAAGTAAGTAAGTAAGTAAGTAAGTAAGTAAGTAAGTAAGTGAGTAAGTAAGTAAGTAAGTAAGTAAGTAAGTAAGTAAGTAAGTAAGTAAGTAAGTAAGTAAGTAAGTAAGTAAATAATTAATGATGTTAAACTCATCTAATTTGTAATTAAAATCTCAACCCTAAACTTCTAACTTTAATCTTAACTATCTAATTTCAAGTATAACCAAAGTAGAAACTTTTAAAAACCTGTCTATATCTTTTTAAGCGCTTGAGAATGTGTACAACCTATGCATTCATTAGAAAGAGTTTATGTCGTTGTTTTGTTTTAGTTTAGACGTTTACTAACATGTGGAAAACATTAGTCGGACTATTAATTATGAATCGAAAGGGGTTTTGAAGAGATTGTAGTAATTTCAGTAGTTGAGATCATGAGTCAATTGAAGCAAGACCATTATGGAAAACCTGGAAGCGCTGGTAAGCCGTTTCATTCTATTGTGAAACTCCTCCTCGTCAGTGTACATTCACGATGTCACCTTGCGAGACTCGAACCCAGGACTTATCGGTTTTGCGCGCGAGCGCTTAACCACTAAACCACTGAACCGGCATCCAACAGTGTTAGTGTCTAATTTCAACTAATCCACGAAATTGATCGATCCATCCACCATTGTCTTCAGTGTGTTACTATCTCACAACAGACCTGGTTGAACTCCACCGGTCACTGCTTCTCACTAAAACTACAGGAAGTACCTGTTGAAGCCAATCACTAGTGAGCATATGTTGATTAGTATCAGAAGTGGTTTTGTAAAGATTGTAGTAATTTCAATAGTTGAGATCATGAGTCAATTACGTAAAAACTGTTTGCACTTTAAAATATTAATGTTTCCTCTTTTTTATGGAGACCATCTTTTCAGAAAGTGTTTTTTAGATTGGTTAGAAAGTAGCTAGACGATGGTCGCAATTATTCTAAACTCGTCTCTATACTACACTTTTACCTAAGCTATATATTATGAATTTCTTAGTTCGATAACTAATAACCTACTAGCTAATTAGGCTCTTAAATGGTTTGTCTTATTTTTTTAGTTACCGTGTTTATTGTCGGTTGCCTACGCAAAATACTTCGGATCCGTTGGTTAGACATTATCAGCAACAATCTATTGTGGAAGAGAACAAATCAGATTTCAGCGAAGGAAAAAATCAGGAAGAAGCGCTGGAAGTGGATGGGACACATGTTGAGGAAAGCACCCAACTATGTCACAAGGCAAGTCCTCACTTGGAATCGTCAACGCCAAAGGAGATGATGATTCATTAACTCATTACACCAAGAAGTGGAGACAGACATGCGAAGAATGGGTGGGTTGGAGAATAATGGTTGACAGCCTATGCTCCACTGAGAGTAACAGAGGTAAGTTATTAAACTCTTCTAAATTGTATCCGATTCAAAATATCAGTCTGAAGATAGTTAGTATTGATTTTTTTACTTTGAATAGTTGTTTCATAATTTTTTGAGATTGACGATAGAAAAAATATTCAGAAAGTCTTACTTCACCAAAGTTCAGTGAAGTTTGTCAACAAAACGTATCTATTGATTGATTCTAGTCAATTAAGATTGAAGTATCCACGACTGCTAGCTCAAGGAATCAAATCCAAGATTGTTGGTCTTACTTATAAACCCATTAAATTCTAGACAACTGATCTTGTAATGAATAGTGTATGTGTTTCATTTCAATCCATTTACAATATTAGGCTATTGACTACTGTTGCCTACTATGAATGGTTGAAATTTTTTTAATCATAACTTCTAATTTAAAACATTACTCATTCACTTACTTTATGAATATCTCGTCGATGATGACGATCTTGTTGATGATGATGATGATTATGATGAACATGATGATCATTGTCATCATCAGTATCGCTTATGAATCGATTCAATGCTTCTTCATCAATATACTCTTTATTAGAATCATATTCAGATGTATTATTCTTTTGAATTAATAATAAAATAAAACATATAAGGTAGATTATGTATGCGTTTATTAAGCTCATAATAATAGTAATAATGATAAATTGTAATCGAATTGTATACCACAATATCTATCTACTTATATATATATCAGCGACCTGAAAGTTTACCAAAAAAAAAATTCGATCCAATAATATTACACCATGTAAATTTGATTGGTTTATTTACTAAATAAGTGAATATTCAAATGTTAAGATGATGAGAACAAGTACCTTAATGTGTATGATGATGATGGTGGTGATGACGGTGATTGAATTTGACTGCCATTTCGGCAATAGTATTTTAGTATTTACATTTATGTTTACATTTTTATGGAATCATTATTGGATATAATGAACTAATCATGAATTCATAAATTCAATTATGTTTATAAATATAATATTACATAGTAACATTGTATATTCAATAAATAACCTTGAATGAAAATGGAGTTAGTGGATGGGGGGTGAATGAGGGGATGGGGTGGTGGTTGATTGGTTGTTATGAAACGAAACATTGAATAAAACTTCAAATAAACTACAAGTGTTCAGATTGGATTGATTGACATTTAACTAAATTCGGAATATTCTAGAATGTGGTTTGTTTGCTGCCACCCACCCCCCTCTGTTAATGAATAGTTAAAATTGAACTAGATCGATAGATGTGTAATTCGTTTGAAAGTAATTTAGTACGTCAGTTCATTGGTTGTAGTGAATTGTCAAAACTATGAGTGAATGAGATATTCCGTTTAGTCTTTAGAAAATCTTGGCTTTGGGTTAATTAGTATCCGATACTTGTGATCATGGGGCAAATGATCCTTCCTATAAGATTCAATCTCATGTCACTCAACTTTACAGTTTGACAGTGACTTCTTGTAAGACTAAGATATTAACAATTGATTGATCATTGAGTAGAGACCAATGTCATATCTGTTTAGTTCCTAGTAATGATCAAATTCTAATAATAAAGAAGGCTCTTGTCTTTTCAGAACTCCAGTCGAGACTAGTTGATAAATGCCAACTTAAACATAATTCAGGCCTTTGATTAATTTTCAACCTATACCAACTTACTTATTTACTTACGCCTGTTACCCCTTATAAAGGAGTACAGGCTGCTCACCAGCACTCCCCAACCCAACTCTGTTCTGACTCTTTCTTTCCAGTTGCCATTCATCCTATTTATGTCTGTTTCAATTTCCGACGTAATGTGTTCTTCGGCCCTCCGTTGTTCCGTTTCCCTTCAGGATTGCAAGTCAATGCTTGCCTAGTGATGCAATTTGATGATTTCCTCAAAGTATATCCTATCCACTACTACCGTTTTTTTAAATTTCCTCCTCAGCTGAAAGCTGGTTTCTCCTCTCCCACACTAGGCTTTTGCTGATGGTATTTGGCTAACGGACATTCATTATCTTACATAGACAATTGTTTATAAATACTTGTACCTTTTTGATGATGGTAACTGGAAAGAACTGGAAAGGATTTCCCAAAACAGAGTTGGATGGAGAGTGCTAGTGATTGGCCTATGCTCTTCCATGAAGGGGAACAGGCGTATGTAAGTGAGTAATTGTTAATATTAAACCTTCGCACATTGAGTTAATCAAGTACATTTGGTTAGCAAACGGTTTTCAGTAGTAGTTGTAGTGAATTTCCCTGTCACTTGATTAACAGTCTAAAATGATGATTTGTAGATTGGCCACTTCTTATCAAAATCAAGTTAAGTAAGCTAAACACTAACTGAAATTCAGTCATTATCTGCTTTGATAAAAGAGTAAAATTAATAATTGATGAAATGATCTTACTGGATAGCCAACTAGAAAGATCGCAATAAATAAAATAAACAGTATGGGGTTGTGTTGATCAAAAACTTAACAATCACCACAACCTCATACTGATAATTATTATGTACTCACTATTGACTAGTTCTAAGATAGATTTCCTGGAATTCCAGTGAGAAATCGTGACTAATGAAGTCCAATCTGTGTCGAATGTGAAACAGTTATCCACCTCAGACAATGTATGAAGAGTTGTGCGAGATCATTGATCAAGTGAAGTTAGATATAACCACCATTGAAAGTCTGCTCAGTGGAATAGAACTTAAGCGTCCGTGCACGCGACCAAGGGTCCTGGGTCACACTGCTGAGGAGTGCCAAACTAGAAAGAAACGACCACTGAGCCAGCATCCAATGGTTTTAATGTCCAGTGACTAGCTTCGTGAGGGAATTCTCGGAATGCTCGTGAGAAGCCGTGACCAGTGTAGCTAATCGGTGTCGGGTAGAAACAGGTATCTACCTCAGTACAATAGAAGATGGTCATTCACAAGTCAATTTTAATTTAACATTTTGATAACTATTGCTAGCAATACAATCTGTCACTTGGATTCCACTCTGTTTGTCAGTAGTCAGTTGCATGTTCTCACTGAATGTTAAACCCAGTACCTAAATAATAGAATTCTACTTGTAACTGGTTGTAAAGTCTGACAAAAGATTTCTAAATTTATTTATTTCTACAAATTACGTTTGTAGTGAACTAGAACACAAGTGAGGTCAATTGAACGTATTTGAACACAAAATTGAAGAACATCCTACTAAAATCTGAGAACCATACAGTAAATACTTCATATGAAAAATATCAGTCAGTCGTCTCAGACTTCACTATTCCTGCATTTTCATATCAACTACTTTCTGTTCCCATACTTTCCTCATCGATCTTCTTGATTTTCTGCTACCAGACATTCTATTCCTGACTAGTGTTATATACTACTTATGTCGAAATAAGTAGCACACTCAACACTATTACTTGATTTAATACTTCTCTGTTCGACTGATCGTTTTTCATTTTGTGACTTTGGCAAATACGAATAATTCATATATCGACTTGAGCTACAAATCTTTTTCATCAATTCTTCATAACTAAGTCTTTTAAATTATACCTACCGTCATTTAGCTAATATCAAAAATATACCAAGTGAACTATCAGTGGACGTGTAGAAGTTTAATATCAATGAACAGACATCTAGTGAATTTTCAGCCATTGCCGTCGACCATCATTCAACTGTTGTACAATGAGTGTGTGAACAAGAACACAAGTAGAGATAGTCGAATCTGAGAACCATACAGTAAATAAGTTCACTTGATGTTGTTTTAATTGTATCTTTCCGTTGTTATTTGGGACCGCAATTGATCAGTCTCATGTTGACATATGTGCACCCTGTGCGAATCGCCCCGCTGTAGCCTTAAGTCACAAGTTTGTTCGGGGTTCAGTTACATCCAGCTGACGAGTCCCAAATAGGACGAAATGCTCATCCTGGATTCCACTGCTAGCCACTATCCATCATACAGTAAATACTTCATTTGCAAAATATCAGCCCATCGTTAGATAGTGGTTGGAGGTAGTCAACAGAAAACACTGGACTCAGGTTTCATGCTACTTGGCACCTGTCAGTAAGGTGTACCTATAATCTTGAGGGAACTGGTGCTCCCTGACGGATTCAACCCCGTGTCATCCAGCTTCACGTCTCTGACTGTGCAACGTGGTCGATAGCATTCGATCTACACTAAGAAGGATTTGACGCACATGAAAGTGATCACCACCCAGTGATCAATCAATTGTGATCAGTCCATTGTCTCAAACTTCATTATTCCTACATTTTCATATCAATTGAGTTCTATACTCGTACTTTTCTTCTCGACCCCCCTACTGCTAAACATTCTAATTCTGACTATCATTACATACTACTTCATATCAACATAAGTAGTACACACACTATAATATTCACACAGAAAACAAATACATTGATAAAAAAAATAATCCCATGCTATTCATTTCACTTCACTGTAATCACATGTGAAACTGTTTCCAATCAAGTCCTTATATGGAATGTTGCATTTTTTTTCAATTACCTATATATATATTAGATTTATTCTTTAAAATGATTAATCTGTTTTGTTTCGGGGGGGAAGGGGTTGTTGTTGTTGTTTTTTCCATATTCAAATTCAATGTAGGCAACATATTAGACAAATAAATGACGTCATAATGATTAGTTTCTAAGTTAGATATTGCTATATAATCTAAATATTATTCATTATAAACAAATGATATCATGATTATTATACAATAATGAATCATATAAACATTTACTGATTAATTTTATTAGTTGAGATCATGAGTCAATTGAAGCTAAACGATCATAGAAAACCCCGGAAGCATTGGACGGTCATTTCATCCTATTGTGGGATTCCTCAACAGTGCGTATCCACGACCCCATCTGGCGAGATTCCAGCTCAGGACCTATCATTCCACTAGACCACTGAGCCTGGATTCAAAAGTGTTAATGTCTAATTTCAACTAATCCACGAAATTGCGTCACCCTACACCATTGTCTACCGTGAGTTACTATCTCACAACAGATCCGGTTGAACTTCACTGGTCACTGCTTCTCACTAGAACTCCAGGAAGTACCTGTTGAAGCTAGTCACTAGTGAGCATATGTTGATTAGTATCAGAATTGGTTTTGTGAAGATTATAGTAATTTCAATAGTTGAGATTATGAGTCGATTGAAGCTAGACCATCATGGAAAACCTAGAAGCATAGGGTTTTCAATGAGAAACTTTAATAAGTAGTTCATGATCATATTGGGAATGAGTTAAAAGTATTACTAATAGAAAGGAATGTTAATTGATTTGGTTTGAGCTCCTGGATGATATTCCAACAAATGATATTATCTGTGGCTGGTATGTTTCAAGCGATTACAAGTTCATTTAATCTGAGAACGGAACGAGGATTCTGTGACACAATGACAGAATGCTAGCTATTCCGACGTATCCCAGCCCACTAACTAGAAAGAGAAGTCCAAGTTCGAACGGGGAAATATATATATAGCAATAAATTGTCCTTGGGAAGCGTTGAAAAATAACATACTAAAACATACAACGAGCCAATAGCGTTTAAGATCCTCCGAAGTGGGAAAATACGACATGAAGGTAGAAATGAGCGCTTTTGGCGCGAAAACAAAAAATTCAAATTTTTAAAATAAAATTATAAAAAATAAGGTATTTATCAAATAAGTTCTGGCGATCTAACATCTCCAACATAATACAACATGAAGTTATTTTGGAAAATAATGTGAAAGATAATGTATCTGAAGTGAGCTCATTTGTTTATAATTGCTTAGCTTTCATTATCGTTCTGGATAACATGATTGGTGTTTACTCCATGTGGAAGTAAACTTCTAATATCCCAATGAGAATAATGAATGGTAACTGTTAGAATCTATTTCTAGACTAATACTATACGCA